CAACAGTTTTTGTTGTCAGATTAAAAAGAAATCTTTGCCAACTGTTAAGTGTGAATGTTACTGTGATCTTGTGATTATTAAAATTATATTTCCTTGATTACTAATGAAGCTGAATATTTTTTATATTTATTTCTCTTTTAGATTTCTTGTAAGTGCTTAATTGTGTCTTTTCCTTTTTTCTCCCCTTCTTTCTTTCTATGGCATCATTTATCTTCCTATAGGAATTTTTTGTAAATTCTGAATGGTAATCTTTGGTCAACTTAGAAGCTCTTTGTTTTTCTTGAATATACCTTATTTTCCCTGCACATTTGCTTGTGCTGTTTCTTTAGTGTGGAATGGATGTTTCTGTTAAAACTCTTTTCTATAGGGCTGTATCAGTCAGGCAACTGAAGCCTTTGCCTGTGCCCAAACTAGATATGACCTTTCCCTCTGAATTCTTACAGCACCATTTTGACAGTAGCGCATTCAGTTTGGCATATTATAGTTCATTGGTTACATTCACTGTGCTTTAGTATATAATGAGCTATTTGAGGAGGAGCTGGTGCTTCATCTTTGTTTCCCAGGGCCTATCGTAACTGCATGATTTTGGCTGCCAGTAATAGAAAACTCAGTCAATGACAGTGGCTTAAATAGGATTTAAAAAATGTTCATAGAGCAGTGAGTCAGAAGTCAAGCAGCCCGTTCCCCTAAGAATCCAGCTCCTTCTTTTTTGTTCTTTGTCCTCATTGTTGACTCTTCACATTCAGTTAGGAATATGCAGGAGAGGAGGGACACTTTCTGTCCATGAGGCATTTGCTTTGTATTTAGGATTTGAAATGTTCTTCAGCAGACTTATCTGCATGTTTAGTTTTGGGCCACATGATGTCATATGGACATTCTTAAAATGAGTGTTTAGTTTCCCAGCCTCTCTAGACAAGGGAAAACTTGTCAGCTGGGCAACTTTATAAGACTGTATCTCAAAATAATGTTTAAAGAAAAGGTGGGTTGGTATGTAGCTTAGTGGTTGAGCTCTTATCTAAGCGTGTATGAGGCCTTGGAGTCAATCCTCAGTGCTAAAAAAAGAAAAAGATTTTTAAAATATTAGACTCTCTTCATTATGTTTTCATACTTATGATATGCTGGTTTATAAAATTGTTGGGGTTTTGAAAGCATTTCATTGTCATGTAACTTCTAATAACTGGGATGAGAAGTTTGAATGATATTCTGATTCTTTTGTTTTGTATGTGATGTAATTTTTAAAATCACAAGAAGGCTTTAGGATTTTTTATTATCCCTGGTTTGGGATTTTGAAATTTCACATTTACACAACTTAGTATATTTTAAAATTTGCTAGACTGAGCATGAGTGCACCTCTTAAAACTTCAGTTTTGAGATTATTTTTTGAATCATGCATTTGATAATTTCCTTCTCTTAGTTCTTTTATTCACTTTTTAAAAGAATTCTGTTACATACAAAATTTTCAGTAATTTTCTTTTTCTGTCTTGTTGTTCATTTTGCCTTTTTAACTTAACCTTTGGCCTGTTTCTTTAACTTTATTATCCAGACCTATAGTAGACTTTATTTTCCACTCCACATTTAAATAATTTCTAAGCGCATACTCCTTATTTTCTTTTTTTTATTGTTTTGTTTTATGTTATGATTTAAATATATGCCCTTGAGGATATTAACTAATTATGCTTTTCATAAAGTTTTATTTTCCTTGAACCCTGACTTGCTTCTTTCATGAGTTCCTTTCCCCGTTTAATTTACTGTCCTTCATTTTAGGGATTTTTCTCAACAGTCCGTACTCTTGGCTGATAATATGAATGAGGCACTAAAGTGCTGGTTAGACGTTCTGTGAGGGATGTGCACCTTGCTACTTAGAGGCTTGCTCGAAGTGTTTTTCACAGGAGACTGCTCACGTTGTCAGTATCAAGAAGTCTTTTACCTAAGTGCCATTCTGTTTCTCCAGAAAAGGATCCTCTAAACTTATACTTGGGGAGAATTAGCCAGGCCATGTTTTCTGGAGTCACAGGGGTTGTGTAGATTTGTACTTGTGTTTGCACTGCTACCTCATCCTTGCCCTTCTCTGTGCCATGACCCCCAAATCTGATTTTTTTCCACCTAAAATTATTAACCTGGTCTATCGAGGAACCTGGGAAATAAAACTCCTTAAAAGGTTTTCAGATATTTCCCCTGTTGCCATTTTTTTACCATCTTCCCCTCCATGTCCCGACCCTTTCTGGAGTTCCCTGGATGGTGTTTGAGCTTGTCTACAAGAACAGCTCTCTCTCCAGGCACTTTTGAGTTGACCTTTTTCTCTTCTGCTCAGTCCTTTACCATTCTTTGAAATGTTGTTTGTTCTCCTGCATTGTAGTTTAGGGTTATAGATTTGTTCATGAGTTGTAGGAACCAGCCTGTGAGCTTGTCTCTGACTGAGACACCAATGAGGACAAAAGACAACAAACACAAAGATAATTTAGAAGAGAAGGGCCAGGGGACTTTTGCCTCTAGTGGACAAAGAGCCCCGAACTGATAATTTTTTTTTTTCTTTCATTAGATTTGTATAAAGAAGCAGTAAGCATGTGATGTAGGGTTTAGGGGGAAAGTATTTTTTAGTTTGTTATAATTTGTAGACTATACCTGAATGTATTTTTAAAAATTAGACCTCAGTTATAGTTGTTTTTTTCTTTGAAACTGTTTAACGCTGGCATGTTAGCGAACAGCCCGAGGTGGAGGGTGATAGTGGTGATGGTGGTCGTGGTGGTAGTGGTGGCTTGTTATCTCCTCTCCCATGTCTCAAGGAGAGTTTAACCCAGGTTTTGGTTTTACATCTGATTTCCCACAAGGAAGGAGTTATTGAATGTATTTCTGTTTTTTTTTTGTTGTTGTTAAGAGTACCAAAAAAAAATCATTACTATCTTGAAGCTGGAAGCCAGTAATGACTACTTTTCCAGGAATTATAGCAATGGTAGCATATACTATATACTTAATAAACATATGGCTTCATTCTAGTGGTGAAAACTCATTTTTTTAATTAATCCATGCATATGGTTATGTCAGACACTAAGTTTCCTAAGAATTTTAAATATTTTAACTCTTTGTCCTCACAACAAATTCTAAAAGGCCTGTACTGTTGTCTCATTTTACAAATAATTGTTCTTTGTAGGCACAGAACATAAATAACTCCACTGAGAATGCATTGCTGGTAAAATGAATCTGGATTCTATCTTACACAGTGCAACTTGAAGCAATTACTGTATTCTCTATGTTTCTATGCCATGCCTATATACAGTTAGAAATTGTAAAATATTTGTGTAGTGAATATTTTAATGCATACTCTGCATTTTAACCTTTTAATGAAGATTAGCTATTGCCTGCATGCTGTCCTTTTCTGTGTGAAATTTTAATATCTTTAATCCCACCATTTTCAGAGTCAATTTCAATATAATAAATAAGGACAGCTTAGTAAAGTGGAAATCACTTTTGAAAGGCTAGTATATTTTCATTTACATTTAAAAAGTTGTAGAAAATAGAAGGCAATACTAAATCAGATAATGGAGATGCAAATTTGAAATTTTTAACATGGTTTCCCAGAGAGTCTATTGGCGTTCAATTTTAATCATTTTAATATTTCTTTAAAATTGTCTTCTGTAGGGTTACTTTTTCTGATTAATCATCTTTCACTATGAAAATCCTTGATTTTAAAAAATTGTGTATGATTATCAGTGTACTATTATCCAGCTATTATAGCTATTTTTTAATTTGCCTTTTCCTTTACCTGTTGTGTAGCTCAAATTAACAAAGTTAAATAAATATTTTCTTTCTCATTTACTGTTGCCTTAGGTATGACTTCTGATGTGTTTGTGTTAAACAAGTAGTTAATGATATTTAAATCCATATACAGATAAACATCTCTATATAAATTCAAATTTGTGTCTGTTTATATTAGTGGTTCCCTTTATTAAAAATTATGCAGATTTTCTTCTTAAGAGTGTTATAGTTACAGTTATCTTCTATAATTTAAAGTTGGCAGTAACTTGCTTTGGCATTAGCTAACTTTGTTTTCTGGGAACTTTAATTGAAGCATTTTCAATTCTATCATTTGGCCATATACCATATTACATGTATCTGACAGGTTTTACTGCATGTCATTTGAATTTCATTAGAAAATATTTCTTTTGATTTTAATACTGAGTTGATGTAGCTTTTCATATACCAAGCAGTATACTTCCAAATTGATATTAATAGAAATATTGAGGAATATTTTAGATTTAGGATATAATGTCTATGGTAAGGATTTCTTACCATAGACATTACCTTTGGTACAAGGTAAGTTCTGTTATTTTTAGGTAGAGTCCTGTGACTTGTCCTGACCAATGAAATTGCGCAGAGATTACACATAAGGCTTCAGGGTCAATGTATCAGATTGTCATTGTGACTATATTAAAAGCTTTTATCCCATTCTAAAGCAGCCCACAATACTCTAGATGGTGACTCTGTGTTTCCGGGTCTTGTGAAGAAGACATGGAACAGAGTCCCTAATAAGCCATAGTGAACATGTAGAATGAGAGAGAAACTGTTATTTAAACCACTGACATTTTGGGGTACTATGTTATTGTTATTAGATGATTCTGAGTGCTAAAATCTCCCATGAAGAAAGTCTTATATGAAGCTCCTCAGAAAATTTTAAGATGGTAGAATTACAAAGTGTCTGTTATTTTTTAAGAGAAAAGAGAAAACATTCTGCTTTCATTGAATGGTAGATTGTGATAGGTTGGAGGGTTTGAAACCTTTGGAACACCTCAGAGAAACTTCTAAGCCAACCTGGATGCTTCTAGTTTCCTTGAAATTTTTGTTGTTCTTTTTGGAAAGTTTGGAAATGATGCTTTAATAGTGAGCAAGGATAGATATTTTTAGGTCTGGAGGATAACAACAATTGTGTAGTTCCAAATCCCCATATACTCTACCTCCCCTTCCCTCAACATAATATCAACAAGAGGCTCATACATCACCCATACCTTCAGCGTTGCTGATGGGAATGCTGTAAACTTTGGATTACTTGTAAGTTGGTCAAGAAGAGCAGCACCAAATTCAGTAGGGCTCAGGCTGCAGCAGTTCTGTGGGGTATAGAGTACAGCCGGGGAGTCTGAAGAGATACCATGAGAAAGAAGAAAGATGTCCAAAAGTGTAGACAAAACACTGGCAAACGGGCGTGGTGGTGCACGCCTTTAATCCCAGCACTCTGGAGGCTGAGACAGGAGGATTGCTATGAGTTCAAGACCAGCCTAGGCTACATAGTGAGTTCCAGGTCAGTCTCAACTACATAGTGAAACCCTGTTTCAAAAAACAAAACAAAAAACACTGGCAAAATAATCATCCTCAGATTGAGAAAATACTAACAGTATATACCAAAACACCGAACCCTGGCTTCAGACTTGCTTAGTTTACTGCTTCAGCTAATGAGAATGGCTCAAAAGTGAGCAGGACTAAAGTGGCAGCCTCAAACATGATTGCATCTAGAGGAGAAATAGATAAATGGGCAGGGGGGCACCTTGGAGATGTGGCCAGTGAAGAGAAAGAAATAAAAGAAGAAAATTACAGGTCTTGCAAAAACAAGAAAAGTTACACGAGTCCTTCCCCATCATCCCTTAAACCAAAGAAACCTCACTAAACCTTTTTATAGGGAAGGATCTTTTATACTTGGAACTTTGTGTACCAAATGCTTAGAAATAAAAAAATTAATGCAAAACATCTGTAAAAATAAAACACAAATGCAAACCAAAAATTACCCCAAGTCTAATCATTATGCAGGAGAATAACTGGAACACAGTACTTCAAAATGAATAAATATCTTCAGGCAAGCATTAGGAGATGGTGTTTGTCTTGGGAGAACACCTTGAGTCAAATATTAAAAACTAAGAAGTGAATAACAACAACAAAAATAGAATGGATTGGATTCTGGAAAAAAAAGATGTAAAATATAAAACCATCAGAAATGGTGACTACATGTAGAAGGTCCCTAGGGAAGAATAGATAAGAAAGGATTTGAATAAAAATTTAGAGCACTTAAGAAAAGCAGGGAAACAATTTTTAAATTAAACATGGAAAAATGATTTTTCAGAGAAAAAGTGGTTGACATGGAGAAAGGCAAGGCAGATATAACATGTATAACAGGAGTCCTTAAACAAAAATAAACTATCCAAGAAATGTAATTCCAAGAATAAGAGAAGACTTAAGTCTACACATTGAACTAGTAGGCAAAATCAATAGTAATAATGATACAGTAGTCAGCTTCCATCATGATCACTTCTAAGACATATCCTAGTAATATTATTATTAGAATTACTCGAATACTTAGTGTTAGTAATGTCGCAGGCATTTCTCAAGTTCCATTCTTGCAACTAGGTCATTAAATAAATCAGTTGCTAAATGAGGAAATATATGTAGTATGTACATTACAATATTTAGAACAAAGAAATGGTCAAAGGAAACTCCAAACATTACAGTGCTGTATAAGCAAGGTATACTGTACAAACAAACAAACAAAGATTGATGCTCTGTCAATAAGATGTACAGAACTGTACAAAAAAGAAGATGGTTCTGAACAGTCATTAAAAGAGGAAAGTTTGTGCTAAAGGTTTTTTTTTTTTGTAACTTCAGGTCTTTAGGAAAAAAGATGTAAATAAATTTTTCAACTACATCAGCTTTCTCAAAGGTGACATAGAAAGCAAGGAAACACTGAAGCAATGCTTTTTTTTTTTTTTTTTTTTTTTTTAGAAATTTAAGGGGAAAAGTACAAACCAAGAATTGTATCAAGCCTTGAAGATTAAGGCTGTAGGAAAAATTTTGACTATTCTAGATCTCAGAGAATACCTTACTCAGTGTTCTTCCTGAGGAAACTACTAGAGAACTAGAGAATGAGTTGGTTTCATTGAAACAGACTAGGGGAAAAAACTGCTGATGAGCACTTGATGTATTTATTGTACAGCTGAAACTAAAGCAGGGATAAGGTAGTACAACACTATGTAAACCTTATTATAGCAACTATATGAGTATTTGCAGTTTATATTAAATCAATATGCGTAAGATTGGGTACGTGTTTGTTCCCAATTTTACTTTCAATTTCAGTTTGACCTGAAGTTACAGCAAAAATCTACATCCTTGAGTTGCACCAAGCAGAACTCAGAAACCATGCAAGCCACAAAAATATTTTCAAATTTAAGCATTTATTTCCAATATAAAAGGTAGTTGGAAAGGGATATAAAACTTAAATACTCAAATGCCCAACTTCTTTTTCTGCCTTAACTGCCATCAACAATCCACGAGTTGTTGACACTGGTGTTTTTTGGAAAGACACAGGAATTGAATACACAGCTGTTTGATGAGAAGTGGGTCAGTGATGTATAAACAGGGTAAGACGTCTAAATCGGGGTCATTACTGATATACTTCATATTTCATCAACTCAAATTCTGATTTGGATTCCATCATTACTTAGATCATTATTCTTTTTTTTTCTTAGATCATTATTCTTATACTCATCATATTCTGACTGGTTCTAGGTGAGTTAGCTAGATGCTTATTGGTTCAGTTGGGATGCCTTAAAACTAATAAACAAGTGTGAGGTCAAATATATTTACATCCCCATGTTTTCTTGCCTGAAGAAATTGTAGGGAATGGTATAGCCAACTGAATAAGGTTTGCTTTTTTTTGGTGGTGGTTTTGGGGATTAGTCCCAAGGCCTTCCTTTGTGAAGAGCTACATCCTCAACTTTCTTTACTTTTGTTTTGGTACTAGGGATCAAACTCGGGACCCTGGGCTTGCGAGGCCAGTGTGACACTACTGAGCTAAATCCCTGGCTCCAACACTCTTTACTTTTTGAGATAGGGCCTTTCTGAGTTACCCAGGCTGGGCTTGAATTTGTGATCATATTGTCTCAGATTCCTAGAGTGCTGGGATTACAGGCACATTCTGCATGCCTGGTCCTTGAAATATTTTGAAACACATGTGCCACATGTATAAAACATAAGTCTATGTACAACATAAATATGTGTACAGAAAATCTAAATACACCTTTCCTTGCTCTGTTCATGAAAGATCCTAGAAGGCAAAATACCTCAGTAACAATGAGGAAAACCTAGTATTCAGGTTGTAGTTTCTAATACCATTTTCCAGTAAAAGGAATTAAAGCTGTTTCTAAGAAGAATAAAATAAGTGCTTAAGAAAAGAAAAGAAGAGAATGTAACTGTACTGTCTACCTAGAATGTACCAATAAATTAAATTTAAAAAAAAAGAAAAGGGAGTATATGAGGACACAGAAACCAGGTTGAAGGCGCTTTCTTTCACTGATCAAACCTGGAAAAATTTGTATGTCAGAATAAGTAAGGACAGGAATAAATTTTAACTTGTTGAGGGCCGGGGATTTAGCTCAGTGGCTCTGCCACCTGCCTCCCAAGCACAAGGACCTGAGTTCGATCCCTGGTACCAAAAAAAAAAAAAAAAAAAAAAAAAAATTTTTAACTCATTGAAAAAATAATCCACGAGTAGTCAGATGATAGATAGATAGATAGATGAAAGGCTCTTCTCCATAGTACAGTATTGACTGATGTTGGAAAATTACTTTTGTAACCATTATAGAAGGATTGGTTCAGGTAAGAATTATCAATGAATTCTAAATCTCTTTGGGAGATTTTGGTAAGAAACCAGATAACAGGTTGCTTATTGCAAGGAGAAAATCAGTACCTGTATAGTAGAGACCCTGGGCAGCACCTGGACTGAGAGATCAAGCTACTGGCAACAGTGAAGGACAGAATGATATTGCACATTTCGGTTTTGATGCCTCAAGAAGCACACATCACTTATGTACTGGGCTTGCATGAGCTGAATCATGGGAAAATGCCATTCAGTCAGAAAATTTTATTTAAACAAACAAAAACAACTGCCCATATTCTTTTAAAAAGTCAGTCATAGAGACAGAAGTTGAGAAAACTCTCCCAGATAAAATGAGACTAAAGAGAAATGACAAAATAAACGCAATATGTGATTTTGTACTCAAGGAAAAAGTTCCCATAAAAATATACAAATGATTCTTGGCTGTATGTTTGACTTTGATTTTCTGACTTTATGATGTGCGAGTGATAAGCAACCTTACTGTGAATTTTAAATTTTGCATTTCTTCCAGGCTGATGATTCTGGACAGCTGCTGAGAGCCTCAGCCCTGCATTTACAGGGGAAACTACCAGCACTTATGGGATGCTGTGTTGCTAAGTTAGAATGTTCACTAGCATAGGTATTTTAAATGCATTTTGTTGTTGCTGTTGTTGAGATGGGGTCTTACTGTGTTGGCCAGGATGGCATTGAATTCCTGGGTTCAAGTGATCCTCCTGCCAGTCTCTCAAGTAGTTGGAACAGGCAAAAGCTGTCATGTCTGACTTAACAGTACTTGTGGTACTTACAGTATGTCTTTTCAATTTATAATGAGTTTATCCAGCTGTGACCCCATTGTAAGTGAGGATCCTCTCCAGATTATAGATATTTTCCTCATTTTAAAACCTTTCTTGTATTATGACCTATAACAAAGAGAGTCTCCATGGAAACAACAGTGGTAATCTCACCTTCCTAATACTAGCTAGTCTGACTTCCACGTCTTCTTTGGTCTTCTTGTTGAGCGTGTATCCTGGTTGTTAGGTAACATTTGCCAGCCCTTTATAATGTGGACCAAGTAGACTCACATCCCACAGAGCCACGGCCTGTGCAAGCCCAAAGCCTCCCCTCTTCCATCGAGGTTTCTCTTGGTTTCTAGGAAGGCTGGCCTTCTCTGAACCCCCAGAAGTTCCACACCACTGATCTGTTTGCCCCACACCAATATAGGCTTCTGTTTGACTTCTGTGAAAGACAAAAACACACAAAGAAAATATCATAGACTTCAGTGGAGGTTTCTGAAGGGAAGTAGAGGAGTGGCACACCGGGCAGCACAACTGTTCCCACAGAGGGCCAGGAAGGAACGTTCCTAGTCTGTTTCAGCATCATGTGGTCTTGAGTGGAAGGGGAGCTTTATCTCACCTCTCCTCTGGCCTCACATCCCTTTTTTTCCCCTCCTATTCTTTCCCTTTTCCTGCTGGGATGAAAACCAGCAAATTCACCCTCTTTATTTTCCTCCTCTGTTTCTGACCTCTCAGTGCCAGGTAATATCCATACTTACAAGGAGGTAGCTAGGTATAGAGGCAATACTGTGCCCTCCGTAGAAGGAATTCTGGTGTTCATTGCTGTGATAATGTTTTTTTTCTCTTTACCAATTTCGTGGGTTCCATATGGTAATCGTACTATACATGTAACTAGACAGTATATTGAAATGAGTGAACATCTTGACCCCTCCTTGTGCCATAGTGCTGGGGATCAAACCCAGGACTTCCAGCATGCTAGGCAAGCACTCTACCACTGAGCTCCATCCCCAGCCCCATACTTGTTCCAAGCACTGGTAAGGGACCCAGCAGATACACTTCCTGGTCCCAAGCACTGCAAGGTCCAGAGGAGACTCTTGGGCAAGTGACCTAGTCCACTACTAGAGAGGACTGAGGTAAAGAGAGTACCAAAAGAGCCCAAGAGAGCACCTGAGGACTGGGGATTTAGCTCAGTGGCACCATGCCTGCCTAACCCGCGCAAGGTCCTGAATTCGATTCCTAATACCAAAAAAAAAAAAAAAAAGGCATCTGAAGGTTTGGACAAGTCATGCAGCTGACAGATGACAAGGTAGAAAAAAACCTGCAAATCAGGAGGAGAAGGATATAGAAGCACCAGGATGTCAGAAGGTAGCATATCAGGAAATGTGTAATTAATACCAGCCCCAGATCATGGGAAGGAAGGGAAAGGAGGACATCAGGCAGGAAGCAACTCGGTAAAGAATTTTTTTGCTTGAAAAAGTATGTATTACTTCTCAAGGCAATAGAGAGGCCATGAAAGATTTGAAGTAGAGGATTAAGATAACCAGTTTTGTACCTTAGATGGCCCAGCAGCAGCAGCAGTGTGGAAGATAAACTGGAAAGGAATTGAGACACAAGACAGCAGAGCTGTGCACAAGTTGATACAACAGTCAAGGCCAGAAATAATGTTACACCAAGGACCTGAAAGTAGGAAAGGAGGAAAAAGTAAATTCCTTAATGTATTATTCACTATTTATACTGAGCTTAAAGAGAAAACATTGGAAATTACTAAAATTATGAAGTTATGGCATCTCTGCTTTGCCAGGGATTTGCAAAGACTCTGTTTTTTTCTTGTTTTCTCGTCATTCCATTGTGATACTAAGAAACAAAGCTTAATGAAAAATAAAATGCTTACCTTGTTTTATCGATTAGCTATATTACAAAACACTAGAGTTCACAGTGATAATCCTTAAATGAATGTGAAATTGTAAAGTACAGTGGATACGGTCAACTTTCAAAATGTTACGTGTGCACTGTATGCATTTGTTATAACTCACAGAGCTGTATCCCAGAGTGAATTTTACTGTATGTAGAAACTGTTAGAGGTAATAAAGTAGAAAACTGAAAACTATGAAAATATTTTAAAAACTTGAGTATATAAAGAAGAAATTTTCAGATTCAACAAGGATTTTTTTTTTTTTATTGAGTTTATTGGTACATTTAGGGATACAGTACAGTTACATTCATTGTTGGGATCATGTACCTTTACATGGCAAGTCTTGATTCTCATTTTTTTCCCCTTACCTCTGCCCTCCCTTCACCCCCTCCTCCCCTCCCCATCTACACAGATTCAACAAGGATTTAAGTGTTCAGTTATACTTACGTACATGTATATGGTTGTCAAAGTTAATGCTTACTTATTAGCAAAAAAACCCCAACATATTTTAAACCCCAGTATGAAATTTCTAGGGCTTTTTTATTATGAACATATAAAAACACACAGATTTTTGATACATCATACCTATCATCTAAAGACCTTTTTCTTTATTTCTATACGAACACATTATTAATGCATTATTCTCAAATATTGCTAGTTTTATGACTTTAATGACCTAAGACTTAATAGCACAGTACTATTTTATGCAGCTTTGTGGTTATATATGTGTATAGATTTGATGAGCATAAATTTCATTAATTAAAAAAAAATATCAGCTGGGCATGGTGGCATATGCCTATAATCCCACCTGGCTGGCTGAGACAGGACGATCACAAGTTCAAGTCTAGCCTGGGCAATTTAGTAATTTAGGAAGACCCTGTCTCAAAGTAAAAAATAAAAAATGGCTGGAGACATAGCTCAGTGTGAAGGTCCTGGGTTCAATCTCTAGTACTCCTTCCCAAAAAGTATTTGAAATATGCATAGGATTTCTAAATGAAGATGGCCAGTGGGAAATAAACACTTTTTCTGTGATCAAATATTTGAAAATTTGCAAGTATCATAAAACATAATTTTATTTAAGAGAACATTCTGCTCAGATACTTCATTTCCTGGCTTTGTCATATGACTAATATTCATAAAAATGTGAAGAAAAAGAATTTAGGAAGCAGGGCCGGGGATTTAGCTCAGTGGTTCCTTCCGCTGCCTGCCTTGCAAGCGCAAGGACCAGAGTTCGATCCCTGGTACCAAAAAAATAAATTAAGGAACTTTAAAAAGAATTTAGGAAGCAACATAGTAAATCAAAAGCGTAGTGTGGAAGAGGTTTTTAAAACTTATTTTTGAAAGCAAGGTCCCTTAATGTTTGTAAATCATTTCCTATCTGATATGTAAGTTAAAGGCAATCATGCCTAGAACATGGGTCTAGATAAAGAACAGATCTGCCTGTTGACCCTCAGCATAGTCTTCTTTCTTAAGTTATGCTTTCATTTACAATAGAAGTCGTGCTTCAGGTTTTTTGGCAAGTAAAATTAGATAACTGTTGAATGATAAAAAATTCAGCCGTATAGCAAGTCATATCTACCACCTTTCAAAGTTGAACCAAATTATTTTTGTTTGTTGATATATTTTGAATCACACTTTTCATGTAAGATACAGAATAGTTTTTAATAGTCCAAAGTAATTGTCTCAAGGATCAGCTTTCAATTTGATGTAACAAAATACAACAGCTCTTTGTTCCTGCTAAGTCATAACCTCATTTTCCCCCTGCAATTCTGTTGTCACCTCTGCACTTAATTCTATTGTGAGAAACATTTTATCAACACCCTTCCCTTTTTCTATTTTCCAGACTGCATGCTGCTAATAGTGCCAATTTGGTTTTTATTGACATTTAGATGTGGCAGCCTTGAATTGCATATCAATTTGTAATGATTTGTGCTTAGCAGCTCTAACTTTCATGGGGTACTGCCAACTCAATTTTAAAGAATAATTCTACTTTTTAAAAATGTTAATTTTAAGCCAGTGAATTATATAATCTAACACTGTGAAAACTGAGGACCAAAGAAATGAGTTTCATCCTTGTCCCGTGCTTCCTTTCCTACTTCACTTTTAACGTGTTTTCTCAACCACAGCCATGCTTCAGCTCCTGTTCTGTGATTTAGAAAAAAAAAAGCCAAGGAGTACTCCAGAGGGACTTAAAAGCATTAGAGAGCATGATGTACCTTTCTATCCCCCTTCTTCCCCTTCATTTTGTATTTCATACCCTGAAGCCAGTTTAAACAGTGAATGCTTCTGAGTTTATGACAAGGATATCTGCACAATTATGTTGCCATGTAAAAAAAAAGTCACAGATATTTTGTGCCTCTAAACACAATTATGCACTGGTTGGTTTTTCAAAATTTCTGACGTTTTAAAAATCAAAAGTTGAAAAATAATAGACAACTCTCATTCATAAACCTTTTGATTATTCATAATCTCTAATTTTTAACATTCCATTACATTTGTTTTTTCTTTTATTTATATACTGAGACACACATACTCATGTATTACAGTATTACACTTTTGCATCTAAGGTGCCCATATATTTGATCAAACGCTGTTTGGTGTGCATAGGTGCATTCTGTCAGCAAATGGGAGCAGTCTACAGGAGATCAGGCCAAGCAGGCCCGCCCTACAGGCAAAGTTACATGAAGTGGCCCAAATGTCAGTGGTCCTTACTCCTGCTACAGTAAACTGCCTTTTCCCTCTCTCGGCCTGCAAGCATGGTCTTATGGGGAGTTTTATGATAAGCTGACAGGAAGAGAAAATACAGGCCTGGTTTACGATGATTTTGCAGGGATAGTACTTCGGTTGTTTACTCTGCTCAGGAGAAAGGAACAGATTAAGTATGACTTAAAGGAAATGTATGTGGCTGCCAATTGACAAGGGGTGGGATAATTTTATGTGTGAACTTGGTGGTCCAATGGTGTGCTCAGAGACTTGGTCAAGCTACTGTTCTGGAAGTTTCTGTGAGGTTGTTTTGGATGAGATTAACATTTAAATTGGTGGATTTACAAGTAAGGTGGATTGTCCGCCATAATGTAGGTGGACTCCATCCAATCCAATTGGAAAGCCTGAGTAAGAAGAAAAAGACTAGCCTTCTCAAACAAGAAAGAATTCTCTAATACCACCTTCAGACTTCATTTATATTAATGGGTCTTCCTGGTTCTACAGCAAGTCTTGTTTCAGACTCAGACTAGAATGTCACCTTTCCTGGATCTCTATCCTGCCAACCTTCAGGCCAGAACTGCAGCCTGGGAGTCATCCTAAGTCTGCAGCCTGCCTTCCCATCTGTAGAATTTATACCTTTACTCTCCCTAATCACACGAATGAATTCCTTATAATAAGCTTTTTTATGTGTGTGTGTGGGGAGTATATTTTCATATTGTGCCCTACTATTTGGAGAACCCTAATACAAATGTTTGCTGGACTTGTGATGGGGTTTCAGCCTGATAAATCCATTTTAAGTTAAAAATGCTGTAAGTTTGAAAGTGCTTTAGTACACCCAACCTATCAAATTTCATTATCTTAATAACACAGCACATGGTCGACTCATGATTGTGGGCTGCCTAGTGGCTGTGGCTTCCTGCCATTGCCCTGCATTTTGAGATGATATCATATCATATATCACTAGCCTGGGCAGAGATCAAAACTCATAGTTTTAAGTACAATTTCCACTGTCACCTTCACACTCATAAAGTCAAAATTCTCGATTAAACCATTGGAAGATGAGATATCTATAGTATCATGCCAGATCTTGGAAGTTAGAGGCCAATACTGAGATTTCTTTGATATTAAAAGTGCTGGAAAGAGGAAGGTGAAACTAATTATTGAGGAATGGGAAATAAGGGCCAGGACTGAAACTTTTCTTTAACAAAACAGGAACTTTTTATTAACATGTTAAGCTTTGTGTGCCTCCCCGCTTTTTATTGTTGAATTGATGTCTCAAAGAAAAAAGGTTTAAGGACCTAAAAATTGGAC